CGCGGTAATGCGTTTCAGTGGCAACGGTTCCATCAAACCATCTGGTCGTGATAAAATATATAATTGAGTGTCATCAGCATAACAGTGGAAATTAATTCCATGTTTTCTTATAATATTACCAAGTGGCAGCATATACAGTATATTGAGAATAGCAGAGGGCCTAACACCGATCCTTGCGGTACTCCATAGTCTACTGACGTTTTTTTCATAGCTGACCGTTCTCTGAGATTTGTTTTCAATGACAATCGAATGTAAACATTTTTTTTTCTAAAACTGTTTAGCGTATAACGCTAGTATATGGGTGCATATAATAAGTAAAAAGAAATCGCTAGTTTATACCACTAACAAGGCTCAAAATAGCCCCACACTAACGCAGTAACATAATAAGGGGCCCTACATGCAAAATGAAGCATTGAGAACTTTGTAAGTGTACAGACCGTTTAATAAGAAGATACTTTATAAAGAGTCCACTTCTCAGACTGATCTCATGAAGTAGCGTGTGTATAACACGCCAATTCGTATTTCCATTGTTGGTGTGCTATCAAGACGCATAATTGCTTTTCAGCGTGTTTATGAACGCCGTTGACTTAACGTTATTACTGTATATATAAATATATGACTTACCTCAACCCCGTCCCTAAACCTACCCGTCACTGGAGTTAATGGCATTTATGACTGTTCCCTCACCATCCTAGGAAGAAAAAAAAGATCACTCCCCAGGTGTAGATCTACATTTTGCTTCGTTTCGCGCGGACATTTGACGGCGTGTACAGACACACGGAATCACTTGGACGTTAATGGCGTAGACATACACGCGGATAGCTCAAAATGCGTAGAGATAACACGTGCCACTTGACTCGAAAGTGGCATGTATGTTTACGCAAAAGTCATGATGTCATGTTGCACTTCCTGTATACACAGCAGGAGCCCTCTTAGAAAAAGATAAGTCAACCATGGACAACGTGCCGAGTGAGCTGAACTGTATGAAGTCTAGCGAACTTCTGAACTGTATGAACAGCGTTCGTGGTTCGACTTGTCGAGACTGTTTTCTCCTGTCTGTATACATGAAGTGAACTGTCTTTATAAAAGAATCTTCTTATCAAACAGTCTGTACACTTACAATGTTCTCTGTGCTTCGTTTTGCAGGTAGGGACCCTCACTATGTTACTGTGTTAGTGTGGGGCTATTTTGAGCCTTGTTAGTGGTATAAACTAGCGATTTCTCTTTACTTATTATATGCACCCATATACTAGCGTTATATGCTAAACAGTTTTAGAAATAAAACTCTTTACATTCGATTATCATGAAAACAAATCTCAGAGAATGGTCAACAAGGTACCAATGTTTTATTAGACCAAAGGTTCATTTTGCACCGGAGTTCTCCTTTAAGAGTGATATTGAAGCGCCATATTTACCTTATCAATAAAGCCTACTTTATAGAAGGCAATCAGATTATGAACAACACCCATAGAAAACCATTATAAAAAGCTTCACGTGCAATATCGCATTGCATGTTCAATAAGGTGTATCGGCTACTGAGTTTTAATATCACCATCTTACTGCTTAAGCTTTTTCGTAATAATAGGATCTATGGGAGGAAAACTATATTGCCTACAGAGCCTATAGGAGACAAGTACTCAATCAAATCTTTATCAAGTTGTGAAGCAAATCTATCAGCTTTACCTCTTAGAACAATATTCAAATATCTTTCTATGCATGGAAGAGTTTTAATCATGTCTCAACAGTGCTTTAACACTGACAGTAACTCAACAGTGTCTCAGCAGTATTTTTTTTTACCTTAGTAAGCTTAAAAAAGTAGCTTAAATTTTTTTCTTTGATTTTCCGTATACAGACGACACAATTATCAAAGCGATCGCCATTCACACAGATCACAATGATATAGACAGAATGCAATACACATGTGCATGACGTCATTGTTTTCAGAAATTCACATTTTTGTTGTTTACACGGAGACCGTTTAAAAAAAAAAAAAAACTTTCATCTCCTGTACCAGAACTCTTTACCATTCCATTACAGTTCCATATTAGAAAAGATTTTTGTCTGCTCTTTTACTGTCATATGATGGTCACACACATCTTAAAGATGAAATTTCTACCACGGTGGGTTAAATGGGTTAAACTCTTTTAAACTATTTTTTTAATCACTTGGCTTAAAAAGCTGTTTAATACAGCCAAGGACACATATTGCCCCATATTATTTAAAATAATTTGGTTGGGGAGGGTATCTCTCTCAGTGAGGCATTCACTTTTGATTTAATTGTTTTTCAGCCAACAATGTTCGTGATGTTCTACATCGATACAAAAGACTTTTGAAGTTAACACGACGTGGAGCAACTATGACGAAAGCCTTCAGAAGAGAGGGTGTGTCACGAAATGCAGTGGCTCAGCTCGCCCCTATCGCGGAGCTGTACTTTGCAGACAGGGTTCAGTTCAACAACATCAGCTTCACCCCAGGGAAGCTTGCTGAGTTCGCGGAGAGGTGCAAGGAACACATTGTGGGGGATGTTAAAGAAAAAGTGCTAGCAATGAAAACAAAAGGTTCACTTTTGCCTTTTCGCCTAAATAAGTGATAAAAGAAAAAGAAAAAAGAGAAAAAGTTGTTTTGCTATGTTCTTTAAGAGGATGTTGATATTTCCTTGTTAAATGTTATTTGAAGTGAACATACAGTAGCCTAACATTTTGTTAAAATTTGTATTTTATTTTTTTCTCATTCTAGGCTAAGCAGTTTACTGAAAACAGAAACTCTTTTTTGAGTACATGTTTAGTCCTCTCTTTAGTCTGTTAATTCAATGCTGTCCACTTTAAAAAAAATGTTTTTACAGCATTTCATTAAAAGCAGTTGGCTGGACAAACTAATGACTCTGGTATTTAATTCCCATTTGGCAGATATGTACTTTTACTGTGGTACTGTTATTTTCTTAATCTTAAACAAAATGTTCATCAGTGTTGGTACTTACTATCTATTGACTGTCTGCTGAAAATCAATTGACTTTAACCTGTGATGCTGGCTTGCAAGAGTCATTCAATAGCATTTCTTAGATTTTCACTTCATTTTGATGGGCCAAATGTGGCAACAGATGAATATATGAATTTACCTTAAAGTTAAATGATAGTCTACTGAAAGGTAACTTATATGCAACAAACATTTTGTAGAACACTTCTGAAAATCCTTGCAAAATCAAAAGGTAAAGAAGGGTAAGTAACCAGATACTTTAAGTACAATTGAAATTACCTTGTGTTGCTACTTATAGACAACTGAATGTTAACTGAAGGTCTACCGATACATTGGTTAATGATTATATGCTAACTTCTTTATAGACAACTGAATGTTAACTGAAAGTCTACCGATACATTGGTTAATGATTATATGCTAACTTCTTTATAGACAACTGAATGTTAACTGAAAGTCTACCGATACATTGGTTAATGGCTACATGCTAACTTCTTTAAAGACAACTGAATGTTAACTGAAAGTCTACCGATACATTGGTTAATGATTATATGCTAACTTCTTTATAGACAACTGAATGTTAACTGAAAGTCTACCGATACATTGGTTAATGGCTACATGCTAACTTCTTTATAGACAACTGAATGTTAACTGAAAGTCTACCGATACATTGGTTAATGGCTACATGCTAACTTCTTTAAAGACAACTGAATGTTAACTGAAAGTCTACCGATACATTGGTTAATGGCTATATACTGACTTCTTAAAGTACTGAGAACTTGTTGAGGGTTTGTTGCATGTCAACGAATACGCTGTTGAACATCTGCAACCTAAATTGATAAGACTTTACTGAAAGAATGTTTAATAGCAGTTTACATGTTACATACAGTGTGATGAGTGCTACAAAATGTTTAATAGAGAATCTACAGATACTACCCTGATTAGAGTAAGTAGATATTTTCTTGTAAAGTAACTTATAGTCAGCAGACTATCAATAGACAATCTATAGGGGGACCATCAAAATAAAGTGTTACCGTGCCTGTACAAATCAAGGCTGTAAAAGGCAGTAAGATATTAAAAACGTATGCATTTTTAGATCCCGGCAGTACAGCCACTTTCTGCTCTGAGCGACTCATGAGGGAACTAAAAGTGAGAGGAAAGAATGCCAAGATCCTGTTGAAAACCATGAGCCAAGAAAGGTTTGTCGATAGTTATGTTATCTCAGGACTGGAGGTATCTGCACTCAATAGTAACACTTTCTTTGAATTACCTGATGTATTTACTCAATATGAGATGCCTGTGACTCATGACAACATTCCACGACAAGAAGAGTTAAGTGCTTGGCCACATTTACAGTCAGTGGAAATTCCTGTCATCAATGCTGACGTGGAGCTGTTGATTGGAACCAACGTTTCAAGAGTAATGGAACCATGGGAAGTGGTAAACAGCAAGGATGGAGGACCCTATGCTGTCAGAACCCTATTGGGGTGGGTTATCAATGGACCACTGAGAGGAGGCAACGAAACTGGGAGCAGCGATCCTGTCATTACAGTCAACCGAATATCTATTGCTAACATAGAGGAATTGTTGGTGAAGCAATACAACCATGACTTTAATGAGAAATCAACAGAGGAAAAGCCAGAAATGTCCAGAGAAGATCTCAAGTTTATGGAAATCATGAACAGTTCAGCTGAACTCTGCAACGGTCATTACTGCGTGAGATTACCTTTCAGGGAAGAAAATGTTACCATGCTTAACAACCGTCAGGTAGCTGAACAAAGAGCTCTCTGTTTGAAAAGGAAATTTAAGAAAAATGCTACCTTTAAAGAAGAATATACTCACTTTCTCAGTGATGTCATAAATAAGGGATATGCAGAAAAGGTGCCAGAAAATCAGCTGAAAGGAAAAGAAGGTAAAGTCTGGTATATCCCGCATCATGGCGTGTACCATCCAAAAAAGGGAACCTTGAGGGTACTATTTGACTGCGGTGCAAGCTTCAAGGGGATGTCGCTCAATAGTCAGCTACTTCAGGGACCTGATTTGACGAATTCATTGCTTGGAGTTCTGACAAGGTTTCGTCAAGAAGTTGTAGCAGTGATGGCTGATATCCAGGCGATGTATCATCAAGTTAAAGTGACAAAACAGGATGTAGATTTTCTTCGCTTCCTGTGGTGGCCAACTGGTGAACTAACACAACATCTCACTGAATATAGAATGACTGTTCATCTATTCGGTGCAATATCATCGCCCAGCTGTGCTACTTTCGCCCTAAGAAAAACTGCTGAGGACAACAGGGCAAAGTTTCCAGTACATGTGACGGACACAATCAAGCACAATTTCTATGTGGATGACTGCTTGAAGTCCCTACCTTCAGAAGCAGAGGCTATGGCCCTGGTGAGACACCTGACAACTGTATGCCAGTTGGGGGGTTTTCAGTTGGTGAAATGGATTAGCAACAGCAGGTCAGTGTTGGAATCTATTGATGTGGAAAAAAGAGCTAAGGAAGTGAAACAATTGGATCTTGACAGAGACAATCTTCCTGTCGAGAGAACACTTGGACTGCAATGGTGTGCAGAAACTGACACCTTCAGGTTTAAAATGGCAGTTCAGGAAAGACCACTGACAAGACGAGGTATCTTGTCTGTAATAAGCTCAGTTTACGATCCCATTGGGTTTTTAGCTCCCTTTACCTTACCTGCCAAGTTGATGCTGCAAAATCTTTGTAGGTTGAGCTGTGGTTGGGATGATCCCATTTCCCCAAACTACCAACTACAATGGGTGAGGTGGCTAGAAGATCTAAGAAAGCTTAGCACATTTAGCGTACCAAGATGCATCAAGCCCAAAGATTTTGGACAGCTCACAAATGCTCAACTACATCATTTCTCTGATGCCAGCGAGGATGGTTATGGTACAGTATCATACCTGAGGCTGCAGAATGACAAGAAGAAGATTCATCTTGCATTCATTCTAGGAAAAGCAAGAGTTGCTCCATTAAAGAAAGTGACAATCCCAAGGATGGAACTAACCGCTGCTGTGCTTGCAGTTCGAGTTGATCGGATGTTGAAAACAGAACTGCAGCTAGAGTTGGAAAATTCAACCTTTTGGAGTGACAGCACAACTGTGCTAAAGTACATTAGGAATGAAACAAAGCGTTTTCACACCTTTGTGGCCAATAGGATCTCCACAATAAGAGAATCCACTGCTGTCTCACAATGGAGGTACGTTGATACAAAGCAGAATCCTGCTGATGAGGCTTCACGTGGGGTGAAAATTGAGTACCTTCTCACAAGCAGCAGATGGATCAACGGCCCAGATTTCCTTCTTAAGAATGAAGGGGAATGGCCTGTTAACATTGTAGATTCTGTTTCCATCAGCAGTGATGACCCAGAGGTCAAAGGAGAGGCTACGGTAAATGCTGTAGTCATTAAAGATGTCCTAAATGTAACAAACACAGATACACAGAATGCAACAAACCAGTTGATAACTTATTTCTCTTCATGGAAAAGGTTAAAAACCACAGTTGCTTGCTTTCTACAAGTGAAAAAGATGTTGCTGCTGTTGAGTCGGAAGAGAAAAGAAATACAAGCTTCTGTGTCTTGCATTGGACTCGACATAAGTCAACTAAAGAGCAAAGTGGAAAAGGAGATGCAAAGATTCAGAACCACACTGACTGGTCAAACCATGTCCCCCGAAGATCTCGACACTGCTGAAAGTGCTATCATTCAATACTGCCAACTGGACAAGTTTAATGATGAAATAGCGGTTTTGAAAGGGGGAACATCTGGAGTAAAGAAAAGCAGCCATATTTATAAACTTGATCCAATGTTCGAAAACGGGCTCTTGAGAGTGGGTGGAAGGCTCAGTAAAGCAGCAATGCCTGAGGGCATGAAACATCCAGTCATTTTGGCTAAAGACCAACATATCTCCACTCTCATTCTTCGCCACATTCATGAGCAGTTAGGACATTGTGGAAGAAATCACCTGCTTTCTAGACTTCGTCAGCGGTATTGGATCACCAGCGCAAATGCTGCTGCTAGAAAGATTCTCTTATCCTGCGTCATTTGTAGACGTTTTAGAGGAAAGCTGGGTGAACAAAAGATGGCAGATTTGCCGAAAGACAGACTTCAACCTGACCTCCCACCATTCACAAATGTGGGTGTTGATTACTTCGGGCCTTTCGAAGTGAAGAGAGGCCGCAGCTTCATAAAACGTTATGGTGTTATCTTCACCTGTATGGCCAGCAGGGCAGTGCATTTGGAAATGGCATATTCCTTAGATACCAGTTCTTGCATTAATGCACTGCGCAGATTTATATCCAGAAGAGGCCAGGTATCGCACATCAGATCAGACAATGGGACTAACTTTGTAGGAACCGAACGTGAGCTGAGAGAGGCTCTGGCTGTTGTCAATCACCAAAAAATTCAAAAGGCATTACTTCAGTCAGGAGTGAAATGGAGCTTCAACACTCCTGCTGCATCACATCATGGCGGAACATGGGAACGAATCATTCGCATGGTCAGACAGGTGCTGAACTCAGTCCTTCATCAGCAAAGTGTGGATGATGAGGGGTTACAAACCTTTCTATGTGAGGTGGAAGCCATATTAAATGACCGTCCCATCACCAGAGTATCAGATGATCCGAACGATCTGGAACCCTTGACCCCAAATCATATCCTTCTGTTGAAAGGCAAACCTGCACTTCCACCTGGGCTTTTCGAGAAGAGTGACTTGTACACGAAACGACGGTGGAGGCAAGTTCAGTTTTTATCGGATCTCTTCTGGCACAGATGGATCCGGGAGTACTTACCTCTGTTACAGGAACGACAACGGTGGTCCAAGGACAAGAGAAGCTTCATCATTGGAGACATAGTCATTGTAGCAGACTCTACTGCTCCTCGCGGATCCTGGTTGTTAGGGAAGGTACTGCAGACATTTCCTGACTCACAAGGACTTGTGCGGTCTGTTGAAATCCAGACCAAATACAACATTCTGGAGAGACCAGTCACAAAGATTTGTCTTCTGCGGGAAGCTGGATAAAGACTGATGTATTGGACTTATGTATGTATTGTATATATGGACATTATGAACTGAAAGCACACATGTGCATGAAGGACGTTTTATTGGCTCCAATTGTTTGTATGGTGTTTAATTGTTATGTTATTATAGAATAACAATTAGGGGCCGGTGTGTTGTAGCCAATTTTGACGTGTGTGTTTTGTTAGTAATAGTCATATAGGGGTGACGCTCTTACACTTGGACACCAGGGGGCATAGGCAGGGAATCACAGTATTGCTGAGACTATAAGAAGGAGTCACAGGTGAATGGCGTTAGGGAATTAGGACATGGGGAAGCCACACAGTTTTTCAAACGTGCTTGCGTGCATGTGTGGATTGGTTTGATGGAGTTTGTCATGTCCTGTTGTTAGCATGGTGTTTACTGTTTTGCATATACGAGCTCAACTTACATCAGAAATGCAAGCAGTAATGTGATTTTAAGTAATTTTATTAATAAAATAAAGTGTTAACCGCATGCCATGGCAGACCTGATTCATTGCACTCAAACGAGTTGGAGATGACTTCATATTCCCTCAAGTGGCTTTATTTTGTGATACGATCGCCACTACAGACGCTGTTCACAAGGCGGTGCGCGCTCCGAAACGGACTGCAACGAGACAAGAAAAGAAGCCTACTTGGGCTTCGTGTGTCCTTAACTATATAAATAAAAAATGTCAAAATGACCAGCTCTGAGATTCACTTAAACACAGTTTATTCACTTAAACACAATTATGTCTTAAATGGACGTAAATAATAGGGAGAAAATTATGGTGCATCAGTCCCCATTATCTGCACTCGGTCTTAAAGGGGCAGCAGTCTAATAGCCTAAACCTGCTGACGATTCAGCCATTAATGCAAATCAAACAACAAAAGGCAGAGAAAATCACTCACAGCTTTTGAATGAGTAACTTTAGATTTAATAAGCATTATTCTATCTATGATAAACTATACAGTGCTATTTTATATTTGATTACTAGGTTTCTTTTCAGACAGAAACAATTACCTGAAAAGATATGTTAGTAGACCTTCCTGAAATTAAAGCACTTTGTATATAATTTGTATCTTTGATTAATTGTATTCTTGTGTTTGTACTTGTATAAACAAAAAAAGCCTGCACACTGCTGCATAACAAAAATATATTTTTCTTCGTTTTGCTTTTTCTATTTTACATTTCAAAATATAAAGTTTAATTATGTTCTTAATTCTTAAAATAAATAAATAAATAAATAATAAAAAAAAACACCAAAAAGAACCGATAAGAATACCGTTAAAGTACCGGATCGATAAGCGGTATCGGTAAGAGTAGTAATACCGATAAAACCTTAACGATACCCATCCCTATTCCTGAATCATTGCCGAGTCCAACGATACCAAACATGCTGGGTTTCGTCTTATGGTTGGTGTAGCGTAGCGATTTAGCGCAAAAAAAAAAAAACATTTGGCGATATTTTCGAAACCGCTGTTCTGATCGAGACGAAACCACCGTCAGAAAAACGGAAACATAGGTCGATAGCTAAACTCTAATTCCAAAATTCGAAAATATTGATAGTAAGGGGTAGTAAAATTCAAACAAAGTCATGTGTCAGTCATTTGTTACGTGTTTTTTCATATAAATGTCTATAACTCTGAAGCAAATTGAGATATTTTCACCAAAATTGACACACACATGTATGGGCTCACTCTGAGGACAAATTAAAAAAATTGTGGGGCTGAGCCTCTAGGTGGCGCTATAATAGAACAAAACGTGAAATTCCCATTGACTTCAATAGAGTTTTGTGAAATAAAATGCTATACTAAACAAATAACATTACGAAACTCAGTGTGTGCCATAAGCAGCATACCCTGAAGGTACTCAAAAGATTTTGAGACAGCGCCACCCGTTGGTCAAAAGTTATAATTAATTTCCAAAAATACTAATTACTTTTGAATAAATTTGCCTATTGCAATTAAACTGATGTTAATAGATTCCTTGGGTTATGCCGAAAACATAAATATCAGGTTTGCCATAATCAGCAAAACTTCCGGTCCGCCATCTTTATTTCTTTGATAAACCTTCTTTTTCGAACTTCTCCTAGACCGTTGGTCAGATTTTCACCAAAATCGAATCAAATCATCTCCAGACCATGCCGACTAAAAGTTATGGATTGCGTGACAATAGACAAAAACGTTTTCGTATACCACAGCATCAAAGTTGAGGCATGCTGCCAAAATGACTATTTAGGCTTTATCTCTGCAATGCCTTCACATTTTGACACCAAACTTTGTATGTGTCATTGTCATCTCACTCTGATCACAACGTATCAATTTCATAACTGTGCCACCTATTGTTCGAAAGTGACCAGCTGCTCACCGCTTAGGAGTTTTACCGCCACCTACCGTATAAGATGCGCAAAACTTTCTGATTACAAGCAGAGGAAGATGCGCGCTGTGCACTTAAAAGCCTTTAATCTTCTCAAAAAACGACAGTGTTCCTTATAATCCGGAGCGCCTTATATATGGATCATCATTTTATACGGTAGGTGGCGGTAAAACTCCTAAGCGGTGAGCAGCCAGTAACAAAAAGTAGACGAATGAGAACGTCCTCGTCTCAGTTCTCGCGCATGCGCCCATAAGGAAGTAATGGAATAGTGGAATAAAGTCGTTATTTATGTTTTTTTCGCACAAAAAGTAGTCTCGTCGCTTGATAAACTTATAATTGAGCCGCTGTAGGCACATGGAATATTTAAACCTTTTCTTTAATGACTTTATGGGCCGTCAAGAGCCAGTCCCTTAGGCAGTCTATCTAGGACTGATCCAGCTCTCAGATTCAATCAAAAATATCTTTATGTGTTCCGAAGATGAACGAAGGTCTTACGGGGTTGGAAAAGCATGGGGGTGAGTAATTAATGACTTAATTTTCATTTTTGGGTGAACTAACCCTTTAACTGACATGCATGTGCATATTTATAGCCTATACAAATGAAACACATGTAAACACAAACACATTATTTTGGATGTGATTAATCACTCAGCACTGGATAGATAGATAGATAGACAGACAGAGATAGATAGATAGATAGATAGATAGATAGATAGATAGATAGATAGATAGATAGATAGATAGATAGATAGATAGATAGATAGATAGATAGATAGATAGATAGAAGTGGGTGTAGTGGCTGTATAAAAAGATATTATGTAATGCATTTTTTGGAAACAATTAAAAACAATCTAAAATGTTGTGCATTCATTTTTCGTACATTAAAAACAGAAACATCAACGAAAAAACTGTACATCTATTGAGCAAACGAAATCTTGCTCGAATGTGATAAGATATTGAATACAGACTTCACGTATGTCCGGGTCTGTCATGGGTCTGTAGATTAGCTGTCTTTCGGTGTTCGTTTACCGCGTGATAATGAGGTTGTGGTGTGAAAAGTTGTGATTTTATGATACCTTGTGTATTTATCTCTTCAACCTGCGTGTGTTTACACTTCGGGTCCGATGCTCTCCATGCCAAGTTTGTGTAGCACTAAGAATGTAAAATGGGACAGATATCAAAGCACCCCCCTTTAAATTTCAAACTGTTCATATTATCATTAGTTACTTGTATGACTTTCATTGTGTTCAATTTGGTGAGACTCGGAGTCGCCAGCAGGGGGCACCCGGGAGTTGCGCGGCGCATGAGTGGCTGACTAGTTAGCAGCATAGAAGTAGTCCAGCACGAGATGAAGCGCGAATGTGCAGAGAAATGTGCTCCTTGTTTGAACATTGCATTTTCTTGTGTTTCATACAGGTAAGCTGACAATAACCTTACACGGGTATATGTATAACAGTATTATATTCTTATAGAGCCATAGTTTGTGCCTGAAACGTTAACAAAAGTGAAGTTTTAACGGTGATTAAGAGTTATGTCGTGAAATGGCGGACGGGAGTGTTAACTATTTAATTAGTAGAAAACTAGTAACTCTTAACGTGAGCAAAACGGAGTAATAAAGGTTTAAAAGCATATATACTCGACGTGAGTGTGGGATGAGGCATAATTAACCGAATATATGTGTATGAACATTGATTGAAATGCGTGTAGAGACAAGTCTGGGCAATTGGAGTTAATGAGGCACACGTGACTGTTCTTAGCCCTCGTATATACACGTGACCCTCATTTAGCATTGCTTTGTCAGCCATTACATGTAAAAATAAAGGACGTTCATACTGTTAAATTAAGAACCATAGTCAGATTGAGAGGTAAAACAGTTTATTAATAATTTTGTGAGTTCATAGTGATAACACAGTAACTGTTAAATGGTTAAAATTTAGTTCATAATGTAGTCAGGTCATTAGCATATTTCATGGAAGAGTAAAAAGATTAAAGACAAGTTAAACAGTGATATGAAAGAGTATTAGGAATACACGTGCAGTTATCAATGTTAGAGTAATGTGGGTATAGACTGAACTATTGCTGATGCCTGAAAATCTATTTTAATTCCAAATACTATTCACATGCTTGTTTGAGTTTAAATGTATGACTCATAGAGTTTATTGTACTTTAAAGATGTTATTTTTCAGACCTTTTCCTTTTATATCAGTTTAATAACGGGCATAGCACATGTTTAGATCCATGTTAATGTGTTTGTGTAAAGAACATGTATTTTCTGAAAATGGAGTATTGTAAGGAGTCTAGTCTAGTGTGACGTATCAGCCTAGACATCAGTCATGCGAGTCAAGATAATTTGTGAATATATCACAGGATAAGAGTATAGAAGTAGTCCAGCACGAGATGAAGCGCGAATGTGCAGAGAAATGTGCTCCTTGTTTGAACATTGCATTTTCTTGTGTTTCATACAGAAAAATAAATGTGTTGCACCCGGAAGTGACATTGCCTCTTTCCAAAAAGTGTAACATATTTTGGCGAGCCAGCCAGGAGGAGGCGATAGAGTGACCAACACCATTAACCCCCTCCTTCCCAACGAGTCGATCCGGAAACAAGATGGACGCCAGTCAGAT